TTTTATATGTAAATAGATTTTTTTCTGCGGCTTTTCACTTCTGTCTCTCTCTATCGGCCTCTCTCTCTCTCGCTTTCCCTTTATCTCAGCTAGCACTTTACAAAATTTGAGATTATTTCAAGAAAAAGTTAAATAAATAATTTGGGTGCTTTCATATCTATTTTTATTTTAATTTATTATTGAATTGTTCCTTATAATTTATATAGATTCCGTTAGCATTCTTGCAGTGTTCTTCTTTACCCTTCCCTGTCTTTCGCGACCTAGCTAAAAGTAAACAGTTCGGCATATTTTGATAGCTAATTGACAATTTGAACGGCAATCACACATGAAATATCGAAAAAAAAAAAAAAAATAGATTAAGAACTGCCAAAGAAATGCAACTAAATGAACAGCTCGGAGCTAATCGTTTTGCTAAGCCAATTGTCATTGGAGTGAAAAGGGTAGCGATTTGTGTACACGGGTTCAATACTTATCCGGAGCAAAGGCTTACACAAACGGACAGCTAATTTGGGAGCGGGCTCAGCAGAGCGGGGGCTTGGCGCTCCGTGGGCTGGGAAAAGAGTACAAGCCGGAGCGATATCCTGGACAGGCCACTTAACTCATTCAACTGTCAATTTTGAATAATAGAGCAGCAAAATGACGCAACAATGTGAGAGAGTGGAAGGCAATTTGTGGCACTGCCAGCAGCAGCACCAGCAGTAGCTGAAGCAATGACATTTTCTCGTAATTTGTGCAAAACCTTTTGACCAGACAGATAGACAGACAGACAGGCTAGCCAACCAGCTGTGTAGCTAGGCCGGCTAGGCTAGACATCAAGCACAACTTGTCGAGTTCTTGAGCATTTCATTTCAATTTCAACTTCAACACAACAGTCACTCACTCAGTCACTCACTCACTCACTCACTCACTCACTCACTCGTTCAATCAGTCAGTCACTCATTCATTCATTCACTTAGCGCAGCTCTTTGTCGTCACACGGTCAAGTTTTTCTTTCCGCGGAGCCCATTAGAAAAAAGGGTATACAGAAGAGTTATGTAAGTGTGAGTGTGTCTGCGTAAAAGAGAAAAACGTATATTGATACAGAGTTTATATACTCTATAGCCCTATTTTCCTTTGCTGTCTCTTTTAAAAATTTGTTAACTTTTCTGCGAATGTGAGGTGGTAATATGCCTTCAATTACCAAATTTTCCATCATAATGTTCTCTAGTCTATATATTTTTGTAAATCGATAAGTATCGATTAATAAAATATTTATGCAAACTAGGTAGAAATTGAATATACACGTGTTGACGATAAAATCAAGTTAATCCTAATTCATTCATTAGACTATAACATTCATTAGACTATTAAGTATAAGTATATAATTTTTTTTTTTTTTTTTTTATATATTTTTAAATTAAAAAAA